TTATATAAAATATGATATAAAAAAGTTATCTTTAAATTATTTTTCTTTAATAATATAACTTATATTATTTGATCAATACTAAAATTTCACCCCAAATTTTCTTAATTTTAGACCTAGTTCAAAATTTGAGATGAATGGTGGTAAGTGAAGAGGAGTTGTTATTGTTGTTGTTGTTTCTTTTTTTTTTATTTTTTTTGGAGAGAGGTTTAAGGATTTCATAATAAATTATTATTCTTTCCTCGTAAGATTTTCAATTCCCATATTGTTCTTGTCTAGTTTTTTCTTAGATTAAGTATATTACACAACAGGAAATAACTGTAAATTCAGTAAGTAAATTATTTAATAGGAAATAATTGTATATTCAATAACACAAAAAGTAAAATTCTTAACCCAAAATTAAATTTATTGATAAATAAACGTCATTTAATAATTTAAAATTTAAAATCAATACTTAAAAAAATTAGTATTTTTAAATGTATCAAGCGAATGTGAGAGTAAAATCTTAAAATTATTTAAAAAATAGTTAACCTCAAATTAAAGAAAAATCAATGTAAAAATACACCAACTGTAAGTACAAAAAAAAAAAAATAAATAAATAAATTCAAGCTCAATACCTTAAAATAAGTTTTAAGCTCCAATTAGTGACTTGTCTTGAGATCATTCCTTTCCTATCAGCTTGTCTAGCATAGTTCCATCTCATGAGTTGGTTATGGTTCAAAATTAGTTAGATGCATTTTCGTGCGGATATAGTTTTGATTTCATTACTTGGTAGGTAAGGTTGGGTTGGAAATAGATGCATCACACTCCACACAGCAAAGAATATTACTCAAATGTTGGTATTTACAAGTTTGAATTCTAAGAAAGGAATGAAGAATGAAAATGTCATCCTACCTTTTTCCTCCAAATATATTTCATAAGGAAGAAATTCCAACCCCCCTCATTTTTTTTTTTCTAAAATAGAATTAAAGAGAGACATGAAATTACGAAGGGCCCAAGCCAAAAAAAAGACCGTGAATCCATGGTGGTCCAATAAACTTTGGACCAGTTAAAATGGGCTTACTAAGCCCAGTCAAAAAAACAGTGAACCCAGGAGGCCGAGTCGTCTCGCCGTCGCTGAGGTGACCATACGCGGGGTGTCAGGTCCGACTTTTGCTTCTTCTCCAACACAAAGGATTAGCAGCTTATTCCGGCCATCTCCCTTGCCACCGCAAGCATTAACGGCTTTCCGGTAAGCTTCCTCCGGCAACCTCTTTTGACATCGTTTTTGCCTTTCTTTAATTCTATCTTTATCACCTTGCTCTGTGTCCATGTGACGTGGCTTATTTTGTCCTTTTCATCCCTGTTTTGTGCTACGTGATTTAACCACCCTAGGAGTTTGATAAAATCCCAAAACTGAAAAACGTTTTAAAGTTTACGTTTTATTATTTAAATTGTATCAATTATAAAATATAAACAGTAAGATGAGACGGACTTAATATAAAGGGATTTATCCCCGTAAGTATTGTGGGGTTTGGAAGTTTATTTGCCTCTTTTATTTTATTTTTTTTGGGGCTCCCTGTTTTCCTTGAAAAAGACCTCCATATTATTACAATAAACTGCATCACTAGAATGAAAAATACATTAAGCTTTGCAATCACACAGATACACATTGCGTTTGCCCTTATGGCAAACTGTTGTTTTATTTTTACTGTGATTCCAAAGGCTATTTTTTGAAACGGTTACTGAACCCAACTTTTATTTCATCAACATGGAGATCTACTCTCTTGACCATATGACAAGCTCAGGGTCTCTACTTGCAAGGAGAGTGTTTCTCTTTAATAACCCCATTTTTAAGGTATTTCACCAACTCATGAACATAATGGTCTTGGTGCAGCTTGTGGTCTCCAAAGACTGATGCAGCTTCTCTTGCGCGGTCTCTTAGCTTTTGTCCTTCCTCAGATAACATTGCTTGTCGAAGAGATTCGGCTATGTTGTACCTAGTGAATGATCCATCTTTGCTCCTTTCAACTTCAATGGCCAAGCCTTTTTCCACCAGCAACCTTGCATTCAAAGGTTGGTCAATGATCAGTGGCAGAACAACAAGACAATGCCCAAACTGCAGGATCTCTATCACAGAACCCCACCCTGAATGAAACAAAGCACCCCCAATTGATGGGTGTGCCAGAATTTCCATTTGAGGTGCCCATCCTATATAAACAAGGCCCTGTTTGGAAGTCCGTTGCGTAAAGCCCGTAGGCAGAGCATCTAGATCATCAGATGCCCAGTCAGGTTTCCTTAGTGCCCAGAAAAATGGGAGCCCGGATTGCTCTAGTCCGTAAGCTATCTCATGGACTTGATCTCTGAATAGCTTGCATTCACTGCCAAAACCAACAAAAACAACAGTATTTGGTTTCTGCTCATCGAGCCATTGAAAAATCTTGGCAGATGAATCATTGATGATTACTCTGTTTTCTTCTTTTTTGGGTGGCAGCAAACCAACTGGGATTACTGGCTTTCCCATAATCCTCTCAAGTGCAATCAAGTACTGGCCTTCAAACTCAGGGCAGCTACGTATAGTTAGTGCTTGACATGCATGGAGAACCTTGGCAACTCTTGCTGAATCGGCTATGCCGGAAGCATTTCCTCCATAGAAACCGGGGAGAGCGTGGATTGCCTCAAAGTCTCGGAAGGATACCAAAGATGGAAAACCGAGCCATTCTGGTGGTTTTGTGAGACTCTCTGGCGATGACCGCACTCTCTTCTGACCATCACCGACAAGATATTCTGGTGGCCCGAAGAATACACTTGTGGCGGATGAGAATACAGAGAACCACAAGAGTGGGATATTACATTCCTGTGCAATATCTGCTGTCCAGTGAGCAGGACCATCTGTGAATATGTAATCAGGTGATTCATCAACAATGAAATTCTTGGCAGGATGCTGCAGTTGATCAAATGCAACCTTCAAGTATTGGATCTTCTCGAAGGGAACATCTATGGTGGCCTCAGCGTCCCTTGGCAGGAGTTCATCTTCCAATTGTGGTAACGGAATCTTTACAAAGTTAACTAGAGAAGACAATTCTGCAGGGACCTTAGGAAGTCTTTGGATGTTCCTCGGAGTGGAAATGTAAAAAACTTTTACACCGTCTCTTGCCAAGGCTATGGAGAATTGAAAGAAGGGTATCATGTGGCCGAAAGCAGGAAATGGGATCATTACAACTCGGAGAGTTTCAGCCATGGCAAACCATTCAACTTATGTATTCAGACTACAGATTAACACTCCTTGAAGATGATATGTAAATAAAAGTTTCTTATTTGACTGTAAAATAGTTTTTTTTTTTTTTTTGGTAAATGCATGTGTCTCTTCTGGGAGATGCGAGCTAGGTGCCGGGTCCATAGAAATTATTATTTTGTACCACCAAGAAGGGTAAAATTAAATAGCTTGTATTGTATGTATTTTACAGTTGTATAATTTAGACTGTAAAATTATTTTTTTAAAAATGTGTCACTTCTGGGAATTTCTGCAGACGCGAGCTAGGTGCCGGGTCCATAGAAATTATTATTTTGTACTACCAAGAAGATACAATTTAATAGCTAGTCCACTTGTTGTCCTTTGGGGCAGGTTGTGATTTGCATCTCATGTTTCAGGTTTAATATCTTTTTTACATATTAACATCTTTAATTTATCCTTCTAAAAAAAAATTTAATAGCTTGTATTGTATATATTGGATTAACATATATCTACTATCTAGCTTAATTAGTTTTGTTTCTTATTAGTGTTAGTGCTTAGCTATCAGAAAGATTTGGACCATCCTATTCTTCACTGGTAGAATTAAGGATTTGAGTGAGTTAAATCATACTCGATTTTATATTTTGATATAAGTTTAATGATGTTTTGTTTTAATTACCTGAATTTGATCATATGAATTTAAAAAATAAAATGAACGAGAAAAGAGTAACTAAGAAAAGAAAAACATATAATGAAAGGGGTAGGTAAGTGCAATAGATATTGTCGTCATAAATTTTATTAAGACCACAAAAAATTATTAAAATTTTAATTTAATTTAATTACTAAAATTTAAAATTAATAAAATAATTAATATTTATTATTTAATAAGTTAAAATTAATTTATAAAAAAATATTTTTAAATATTATAATTAACTATTAAAAATTATAAATTAATAAATTTAAAACTATTAGTAGCCTTAAAAAAAAAAGAAAAGTTATGCGACAACCACCTCGACTCTTTGAAAAGGGGAAAAAAAAGAAACGACGAGAAGTCTGATGTACCTACTTTAGAGTTCTGATGTTGTGATCCCATTTATTATAGGTTAAATTTCAATTTTAATCCCTCAACTTTAAAGTTATGCATAAGTTTTGTCTTTAAATTTTTTAATGCTTCTTTTATCTCTTCATTTTGAAAAGGTTAAAACCTCATTTAGGTCCCTCAACTATTGTACAGACCTCCAATTTGGTTTTTGAACTAAAAAAATTTCTGATTTGATCCTTACTATTTACCATTTTGACCCTAATTTGGTCCTTCCATTAAAAATTGACTTACGTGTCCCATTACATGACGGAAAAAGATGACAGCATGGCAAAAAAACAATGATATGACAAAAAAAAACAATGACATGGCAAAAAAAAACCTTAAAATATTTCTTTTTCTCTTTTTTTTTTTTCTTCCTTTGATTTTCCTTTTTTCCCTTTCATCTTCTTCCTTTCCTTTTACCTTTTGCAAACCCTAACACCTTCTAACATTAAATCAAAAAATAATACAAACCCAGAATCTCCCCAGACCAGTCATCGCCCTAAATTCTTTCTTTCAACCTCCCCAAAAAAACTTAGAAATATCAAGGCATATTTTTCCAAAATTCAAGCTTCTAAACATAAATATTTAAAAAAAAAAAAACCCAGAATCTCCCCAAACCAGTCATCGCCCTAAATTCTTTCTTTCAACCTCCCCAAAAAAACTTAGAAATATCAAGGCATATTTTTCCAAAATTCAAGCTTCTAAACATAAATATTAAAAAAAAAAAAAAGAAATCGAACCCAAAAGATCGCTGGGTTCGATAATCATAAGCAGCCATATGAGCAAATTTTTTCCATCAACCAATTTTTGCCAAATTCTCAATGAGAACAGCTCACACAAACACAATATTTATTAGCAAAATAATCAGCTGCAACCCAAAAATATATCTAAAATTCAAGCTTCTAAACATAAATATTTTTTAAAAAAATCAAACCTAGCAAATCGCTAGGTTCTCGAGAACCCAGCAAATCTAAGAATTCAGCGATCTGCTGGGTTTCAAAGAGGAGATGATAAATGATGAAAGGAAAGAGATGATGAGGAGATGAGAAAAGGAGAGGATCAAAACCCAAGCCGACAAACAAGGATCCAAGGGAAGAAGATGAAAAACGAAAGAGGTTGGAGATGAAAAGTAAGGGGGAAGTAAGGGGCAACGAAAGGAGGAAGGAAAGAAAGTGATGTGTGGATGAAGATAGGGTAAAAATGTAATTTTATCTTTATAATTTAACATTTAATAATTTTATTTTTATAATTTATTTCATTATCAATCCTATGTGGCAAGGTATTTAAACTGTCATCTCTTTTTCCGTCAAGCAACGGTCCACGTAAGTCAATTTTTAACGAAAGGACCAAATCGAGGTCAAAATGGTAAACAATAGGGACTAATTTAGGGATTTTTTTAGTTCAGGGACCAAATTAGGGGTTCGTACAATAGTTGAGGGACCAAAATGGAGTTTTAAC